AGTATGTCCTCTTTCTTGGGTTGCAGTTATTTTCTGTGAAAAAAGAACATCACGCACATGGCCAACTCTACCTGCCAAGGTGTTGAAGACTGGAATATTCTTGTTATTTGTCCTAGAAAGGCAGATTCTCCAGCAAGTACACCTGCCCAATCAAAATAGCTATTGGGTCTTGCCAAAAGGCACCTTTTATCTTTTTGTTGTCATGGAAAGAAAAATTAAATATTTAAGAACATTATGTTTCACTATTGTGTTATATAGCACAAAACAGCAAGTCACCCAATCTTAAGCAAGTAAAACCAACTCTTGCATTTTTAATGACTTAATCTCAAAATGTAAAATGATGCCCTTTAAAAAAACAACAGATGCTCATAAACCCAACATTAGTTATAACTGCCTTGTTGCAGAGCTGAAGACATGAAGAGACCCTAGAATATTTCAGTATCAACCTCCTGAAATGGAAGGGCACTTTAGGGCATTCAAACAAAACTATAGAGGAAATACTCCAATACAGGGGTGGGATTTAGCAGGTTCAGGATGGTTCAGGTGAACAGGATGTTAAATGTACACATGGCTCACCGAATTGGTAGTTGAACCGACCGGCTGACTCCTCCCACCCTTCCCCTCCCCTCCCCTCCCCTCCCAGGAATCTTCACATTGCCCATTTTGGATGCAGGTAAGTGCAGGGTCTGCGCGGAAGCTCTGGTAGGTAAAAAAATGTCCCCCCCAGAAGTTCTGGAAGTCCTGAAAAGGACCTGTTTCTTGCTTCCAGAGGACCTCCAGACCCCAGGGGAAGCCATTTTTGCCCTCCTAGAGGCCCAAGGGAAGCCCCCGGACTCTGGGGAACATGAAAAATGGTCCCCGTGGAAGTTCCGGAAATCCAGGAATGGGCTGTTTCCTGCTTCTGGAGGGCCTTTGGACGCTAGAGGAGGCCATTTTCACCCTCCCAGAGGTCCAAGTGAAGCCTCAGGACCCTGGAGAAAGTGAAAAACAGCCCTCCCAGAAGTTCTGGTAGGCCACACCCACCATGGCTATGCCCACCCAGCAACCGGGCAGAGAACCGGTTGTTGGGATTTTTGAATGCCACCCCTGCTCCAACACCATTATAAAAGGCACCATGGGTGGAAAACCTTCTGAACCACATTATCCATACAGATTGCCTACATCTGGGGTGGTTTCCATGTGTGCAATATTTTCCACTTCTTCAGCTCAGTGATGCACACTCTTTCGAATGACTTCCCAACCAATCCCAATTACAGGAGATGAAAGTCCAGGCGAGTCAGCTAATTGATCTGCATAAAAAGTATACTTCAGTCTAATGACTGAGATAATAGTTTGCATTGTTTTAATGGAAGGAATTATTTCCTGTTTACCTCAAAAGGTGGACAAATCCAGGAGAAGAGGATGGGAGGGAGAAACCAATCGACTGCTAATCCTTTCAGTGTCATTCAGAATCATCAAACAAAATATTTTTGTGGGATATTTAACTTACATATGATGGATTATCATTATGTGGTGGATCTGGTTTGGTTGAACAGTTTTATTTTGACAATTGCAGAATAAGACGACTGGAATTGAGGAGAAGAGCACATAGTATTGTTGCAGATTTCAATGCATCTAATAACTATTGAGCTAGGGCAGGCTATTCTCTTTAAAAAAAATAGACAACTTTCTGAATAGCTCTGACAGAAGAAAGGGAGAAATTTTGGGTGGCTATTTATTTATTTAATCAAATGTATATCAACTGCACAAATAGCAACTCTGAGATAAAATAGCAACAATGTACAACAATGAGATAAAATAGCAAACATAAAAACAACAGATAAAAATATTAAAAAATTGTATCAGTAAAAATCCTCCAAACCAAAAAAACAAACCTTAGGTGAAGGGAGGATAAAAATCCCAACAATAAAGCTATCTATGCAAGTCTCCAGTTCCCTAGGAGTCCCAGGCCTGATATATAACAAGCCTTTTCAAAAAATCAAAAGGGATAGAATTTATTTAATGTTTCTTTTGGGGGGAGGAAGATATTCCATAAGATGGACATCACAGCGGAGAAGACACATCTCCTTGGACCCACCAAATGCAGGCCCCTAGCCAATGCTTCCTGTAGCATGCCTTCTCTCCCAGAGCTAATGAGAGATTTAACCACAGCAAATCTCAGTACAAAAATATTACACTTGAGATCTTATTTTGAGCATACTGTTCAAATTGAAAAATTGTCCATTGTACCTCAAGCTCTTCTCCAGTGCATCTTGGAAACAGCAGGTGCCTTTCTTCTGGGTAGGAATAGTACAGCTGACTATCAGGAAGAGATTTTTTTTTTTAAAAAAGGGCAAGCCATTGTTGTTTGGATATCCCTTTTGCTTCCCACACACCCCGCCGCTTCATCTTCTGGTACCAATTGTACAAGGTGAACCCACCCAGTCCGTGAGCTGAGATTATTTCCTATTGAGAACAGTTACTACAACAACAACAACAAACATGTTCTCAAAAAGGCAACTGCTAAGCTCACAACCCTGAGCTAGCTTACTTGCTCATTGATTCACATGACACAGACCAAATCAGCTCCGGTCTATTTATTTTTCATCTGAGTCAGCAAGCAAAATCCTGCTGCATATGGCAGATGAGAAGCAAGAGACAACTTGACATGGTATCTGACACGGGCAGGATTTACTGCAGTTTAATACAGACTTAAAAACTGCAGTATTATGCTTTTAAACCACCATGCTATTGACCCTTTAAATAGCAGACCTCTACAGGACATTATCCAGAAAGATCTATGCATACACCAAGAATATAATACACAACATCTGATACCATGATTCCATTATTTCCCCCAAAGATGTATGTGTTTGCATATATAACCTGAATAGCACCATTGATATAGCAGAGGCATTTTTAGAAGACTTAGGAAAGCCTCAAGAGGTATACAAAACCTGCACAGGCGGGGAGGAGGGGGGAAGAGGGCAAAACCCCAATTTCCTTAGTGAAAATATTCTTGGTGATCACAGAATGATAAATTACTACTGAAGAAAAATGGGTGGAAGAAAGGTTGGAGCTGCAACCTGTTTGCTTTGCTATCAGTGGTGGACCATAGCCATGCTGGTGCTAAGTCTGACCTCTGCAGTGGTGGGATTCAGATATGTTTATCGCCGGTTTGGTGGGTGTGGCTTGGTGGGCACGCTTTGCGTGCATGCCCATGCCAAGCACGCACTTTGTGCAGGTGCAGAGGTGTTTGCGCAGACGCAGAGGCATTGTAACTCATCTCCTGCAAGCCTGCATGATCCCGGTCACTTCAGCAGCTGTCGCGCAGTGCTATTCTGTGCCACGCAAAGCAGCTGCTCTTCAAATTCAGCAGATAAAGGTGAGCCTGGGCGGGCGGGTGGGCCCAACAGCAGAGCGGCAGAGGGAACCAGTTCGGTCGCTGCTGCTTATCACTGCTACCAGCTCGGCAGAACTGGTAGAATATCACCACTGGATCTCTGGTGGTGGGATGAATGGGTCTTAGGATGGCAACAGATCAGGACAATATCCCCTTCCCATTTGAACAAATTTACAAATCCATAGTTTTCCACCTCTTACAGATACATACAGCCTTCCCATAATGCCTTGTCTAACACTGACACTAAGCTAATTGAGGTCAACTACTCTATTGTGGAAATTCTATTAGTTCAGCTCTTTTGGATATTATATTTTCTGCCAATATAGCAAGTGTGGCTGTGAACTTAATTTTTCTAGAATCACCCCACTCACTCCAGCCTGTGCCAACAACATGCATAAGAATATTTTTAGCCCATCATAGACAGACCAGAAGAAGTGCTACTTCCACATTCGATTCAGTTTCCCCAAGCATAAGGTATGCTGCTTGCAATCCTCCAGAACTTCTAGTACAGTGGTGGCTAACCTTTTTGGGCTCCCGTGCCGAAAATTGCACACGCACTCGCATGCATACACTCACATGCCAGCACCCAGAAGGTAATGCGTGTGGCGGGGCCCATGCCCCCATGCCTCCAGCACATGTGCATATGATCCTCCCATACCAGGCATCTCTGCACATGCATGTGCGATCCTCCACGTGCACTGCATGACTGTGCATGTGCACGAGACACCCTTGTATACCATGAATCTCTGTGCATGTGCATGCAACTCCTGCCCCACCCTACTCCCTACGCCTGTGCACCAGATACCCAACAATCAGCTGTTGGGTGGGCAGCGGGCACGCATGCGCAGTGGGGCTCTTCCGGGCAACCTCTCATGTGCTGGCAGTAGTGGCTCTGATTGCCACTTCTGGCACGCATGCCATAGGTTCTCCATCACGGTTCTAGTACGAAAAGGAAACATGTGTTGACTAGAAATCCTTGGATCTTCATGGGAATAAAAAAAACCTAGCTCTAAAAAAAGAATAACTAAACCCATGATGTTTTCCAGTTGATCATCTCTGCAACTCTTTTTCATAGCAACCTGCTATTTAACATGCTTAGAGAAGCAATGGAGTGTGAGAGCCATCTCTACAAAGGTCCTCAGAATCACATACCCGAAACCTAACTTACAGAACAGGACTTTCTGACAACACAGAGGAAGAGTTATTTAGGTGCACTTTTGCCCCATCATCACTGCTTCATAATTCATGGAAAAGACCAGGCTAAAGCCTTTCTGAAGCATATAGTGAAGGAAGGTGAAATAAATGAAGATAAACGGAGAAAGAAATAAAAAAAGGTAAAATCAAATTCTAAAACCACAAGTCTCATTTTTAAATTGCATAAGCAAAAATTTCATCTTTTATGAATCATTTACATTATTTAAAAAAGAAGACTATCAAGACTTAAATATGTCTTTAAAGGAAGAGTGACTCAGAACCAGTTAACTAATTTTTAAATTTGTGAACAGAGTTTTGATAAAGCCTTCTGTTTAAAGCAGACTTGCTTCACATAGCAATTTTCTCTGTGTTTAGGGTTTTCTGCAAGAGCTGGTGCAATGGAATATAATCCAACTATTCTTACCATTTTCATTAGGGGCCTTGCCTTTTCCGTTTGTTGCTCCAGCACCTTGTCTCTGAGAAAGGAAAGGAGGAAAAGAATGTTCATTAGCAGTTTGTTACAAAACTATATTAGAAAAAAAAAACATTGTAATGAACCTAGTACCCATTTCCATTCATACTAAGCATCAGTGTACCGTCCAAACTTTTTTTCTTTCTGTCAAGATTTCTGTGTTTGAATCCTTTGGCCTTTGTTCCTATGGCTGCCAATCAAATTCTAAGACTCTCCAGCAAATGTTGCTCTGAGCCTTAATGTGACCTTTCAGTGTAGAAAATAATACAAGGCTTCATAACATATTTATCTCTAAAATGTGTTTAATTAATTTGAAAGCCATCTAAGTTGATTGTCATCATTACCCTTTTTTTGGCTAAAGAATTCCATAACTATACCAGGTGTGAAATTCAACCACCTCTGCCCAGCTCAGGAGAGGTGGTAGGAATTATTTTAATTGGTAAAAAAAAAATGCTCCTGGTTGCTATTATTATCATACCAAGCCACACCCACAGCCATACCCACAGAGCAAGTAAGGAAAATTTTTGAATTTCACCCCTGCACTATACATTGTGTGAATCTGTCTGAAACTCGCACTATTTAGTTTTCTAGGATGAACTCACATTATGAGATAGAAAGCTATTTCCTACCCTCATGTGTTGTATTCCACCATATTCATCTGGCAAAATTAATTTTGACTCTTCAATGATTCCCAGACACCAATATGATTTTCTGTCTTTTCATTATAGCTACATGCTATATCAATATTTTCACTGAATCTCTTGCTCTAGTGTGGATCATGAAAAAAACCTAACTGAAGGAGGACACTGTCTAGATCAAGAGATAGCTCACAGTGCAAATCATTCCTTGCTATTAAATAGCTTTCTGAACTGGACCTGCAGAATTAAATTCGATACCCTTTCTGACATGCCCTCCTCAAATTTTTATTTGATCAGTGCATAGGAGAAAATAAGTTGATCTTCTGATTAGCATGAAGAATTTTTTTCATATTTCGGCTATTGAAAGGAAAACCAAAGAAGAGAATGACATTACAACAGAAGTTTAGGAACTTTTCAGTCAAAACTGAAGGGAGCTAGCTTGAATTAGCAGTATTTGTACAACAAATAAAGCTGGCACGACGTGTTGCTGAAGATAATCAGCAATTATTAATGCAACCAGCTTTCAGCTCAGAGACCAGCTGCATCTAAGACTTTCAAAAATGGCACTGCTGTTACAACAGTTTTTCAGAGAGTAAAAATTGTGAAGTAATTAGAGTGTATATTGGGAAGAATGAGATTCCCCCAACCACAGTATTAAGCTATTCATTGACTTTAGATCCATCCATAAGGGATAGATTCAGTGAAGAGAGGAGAAAGCAATGAATGCTGCCTGAATGTCTTGGAGATCAGCAATGCAAACATGTAGTTAAAAATAAATGTTTAAAATCTTAATGAGTGTTTCTCCCTCCAGTACAGGACCACTTGCCTCAAGCTCCTAGAGCATGGAAACAATTGTTATAATAAATATGTTAGTTTTTAAAGTGCCACAAGATTTTTTATTGTTTTTTTCTGAGTCTATCTCGTCAATAACTATGAGAAGTATCATAAATTGCCTTTGAGACTCCTGCATATTGAATGTCTGATTATGATTAGTGGGTAAAGAATGTTGGGAAGACATTTTTGAAATATAAATCAGCATCCTCCTGGTGTTTAGTAGAGTTAATATTCCTTCCATTAGAGTCACTTCTTAAGGATAAAGAGATGTTTTTAAGGAATCAAAGCGGCTGCTTTCCATTATGCCCAGCTGGAAAATGGCTGGTTTAAGAAAAGAAAAGCGCACACAATATCTCCATTAAGTTCTGCAGTGGGACATAGTAAGCCATGTCACATACGCATAGTATCTTCAATTATTTTCTGCAGAGGGACTTACTAAGCCATGTCAGGTATGTATAGTATCCTTTATGAGAGGAAAAGTAACATAAACCATCTTTTCCATATTTTATTTAAGCAATTTATATCCAGGTCCTGGTTGGTTGACAAAATTGCAGTTATAACTAAACCTGGTGATGTCCAACCCAAAGTCCATTCAGTTTGAAAGGCACTTGCAGTGGGCAGACATCTTTGGGTAAGGGCAGGAGCAAATTCAAACTGGCTTTGCAATGAACAAGCTATTTGCTAACTAGAGGGAAACAATCTGGTCCATTTCAAAGTCAGAAGTAGTTTACTCGTTTCTTCCATCAACTTCTATCCAATTGTATGTTTTAATAATGATTTGCATTAGTTTTAATGGCTGAAAACTGAGAATACATAAAGTAAGCACACTAAAATGACACCAGAATCATCTCCAAGCAGATGAATTCCATATGTGTTGGACACCTTGTCCCATAATTGTCATTTTTTTGTAGTCAATAGAGTTCATGGGAGTTGTACTCCAATACATCTAGAAGCCGCCAAGTTGCACAAAGCAAATACCACTTGTCATGGTAAAGAAGGCAGAAGCATAATTTCTTTCACTTGCTGATTATTTATCTCAGCTACAATTAACATGAATATAAAATCACAATGATTATAGATTTAAAAAGATAAACAATGTTGTTGTTATGAAGCTTAGAAGGTAATGCAGTTTATGGCTGCTTGGGGCCATATAAATTTTTAAGTTACTGGTTTTGCAAAACATCAAAGAGACATCATTAAAAACTGCACAGAAAACCAAACTAATTTTAAATCTGTCATTATAAAAAAGGAAAGTGAAAAGTATAAATCAAGCCAAAGATATAATATAAACCACAGAGAATGATATTCATTATCATAAGAATTATATGGTATAAACCATATGTTTCCATAATTGTCAAAATTCCATTCCTACATCTGAAAAAAATGAAATTCTTCTTTGGAACTAAAAAGGCCTTAATCTATCTCTATTAATTCTTTTCATCTATTTCTATCTTTACTATCTTCTCTTCTAATTGTCTTTTTTTTTAAATACCAAGGAAATTGCTGCTGCTGTTGTTATTTTTGTTTGGCAAAGTTCAAATGGCAAAGCTCTGTTGTTGTTGGATAGGTGGAGCAGAACAACATTTTTATGTTTTAGGTGTTGAGGGATTAAAAAGACAACACTGGTGTATGGATCTTGCAGAACCTTTTGCAGCACATCCCTTTGGAGTCTTTTCATTTTAGGGAAAAAATGCGTCAAATAATGCCATCAGCATAATTTGGAACTAGCTGCAAGGCTAAAAAACATGGGCTATGAGATTCCACACCCCTATTCTATGCGTCTTTTTTATTTTTCAGAAAGAATGTGCACTGTATCTCAGGGAGCTGCTACCCAGGGCCATGATCCTTCTATAGGACAACAGTTGTCTGGACAGAAGGATTTTTCTTCCACTATCTTCTCTGAAAAAGGGGAGGGAAATATCTGCTTCCATGTCATCATCCCATCAATTCCATCATGCTGGTCCCCAAGCTTGGATGAGATAGGAGGAGGGTAGGCATCATACTTTGCGACAAGTTGGCTAAGATTTCAATGTTGCATCATTATGCCTCGAACCCAAAACAACGCTTGATATGCTGACATTCAAGATGCTGCAGACCAGACAATGTGGCAGGCGAAATGCAAAATTGCAGACCCCACGATATGGTGGGAATAATGCAAAGAACAAGAAGAAGTCGTCATCCCATCCTCATTGCCTATCAACAGGGAAGAAGATGTCATAATTTAAACCTTGCACTGAATCTCAGTACATCACTATCAACACAGGGAATGTGAAAGGAAATGGGAGTAGTTTCCCATATTTCAAGGGAGAGATGTGGGTGATGGGAAAATTTTAAGAGTAATTTTTTTCATGAGAAGGAGGAGGAATAGAGATGACCAATGTGCATTTTTTTTCATAATTAAACTGCAAGCACTTGGCATTTAAACCAAAGTGAAGACCATGAGAACATGGAACTGACAGAGATCCATGCAGGGCGTATGAGTATATAGTGCTTAAGAGCCTGATTTTCAAGCTCTGTATATTCAGCCAATATTTATGTGGAATTCACTCCTAAATTTGGATTGCTGCCATCTCCAATTTTCTGACAGGCTCCTCAATATAGTGATCTGCTATATTGCAGGGAGATATAATGAAGTCTTACACTGTCTTAACTGAATTTAGCCAGTGCAAATGGGAGAGAATCTAGTTTATTTTTAACAAGAACTTACAACAATTAACAACTTTCACCCAAATGGCCTGAGAAGATACTGAGATTTTTTTTTTTAAAAAAAAGCAAAATAGATAGATGGTGTATAGAGCCATTCAGAAGTGAGTACATATTTTTCAGTATATTTTTGGATGAAAACAGTAATTTTTCAGGGACTGGTTTGTGAACCAGGATAGCAGTATTCTGTGGTAGATTTCTGCAGTATTTGATGCAACCTATCCTTTTTTTCTCTGCACAAGCCTAGATATTGATTTTAAAACAATTTAAGTTAAATTGCTAGGGCAAGTACTTGGATAATCCAAGTACTGTATGTCACCCTTAATTTATTTTCATTTTAACTCAATTACAGTCAACCTATTTTTGGATGCCTCTGAAAATCAGGACACATGATTTATATTTGCAAGACAACTTCCAAAAATGGTATCCTTTAAAACAGATAGAAAAAAGCAAACATAGAATTCACATTTTGTAGTCTGGTGAGGTTCTTATGCAGGCTTGCAAAAATAAATCATGAGCAGCTTACAACTAATAAAACTATATAAACAGCATAAAATCAATAGCAATAAAAGTAAAAACACAAAAATTTGGCTCCCCAACCATACTTCTCTGATGCCCCTATATTCTAAGATCTTGTCCTACCCCAATGCCTGGAGAAAAAGCCAGGTTTTAAGTGATCTCCAGAATAATAAAAGGGCAGGGGCTCAGGGGGAGGGTATTCCATAGGGCAGGAATTGCAATGGAAAAATCACACTTAGTGGTAATGTTTAAGGGAAATAACTTGGATTGTGCCTACGCTCACTGCTTTAAGACAAATGGTATTGCAGAT